AATAAACGAAGTTTAATAAGAAATTCTTACCTCTGATACGGGTGTCCCTCAGGGTACAGTTAAACCGCCTAAGTTATATTCATTGTATACTGCTGACTATAGATCATCTAGTGAGCTTTGCCCAGTTGTAAAATTCGCTGATGATACCAGCACAATCGGCCTCATTATCTCAGATAACGACACACATTATCGTAACGAAATAAAAAGGTTTGTTGAATTTTGCAACAATAATTACCTACAAATGAATACTACAAAAACAAAGGAGATGATTATTGACTTTAGAACCAAACATAAATTTCAATTTCAACCAATAACAATAAAAGGAGAAGAAATAGAAATAGTTGATAATTATAAATATCTAGGCATTGTTTTTAACAATCGATTGAGCTGGAGTGACCATATTGACTTCCTGTGTAAAAAATTAAGTCCTAGAATGTATTGTTTGAGAACTCTATTTAATTCCAGTGAACTTATGTTGCTTTCTTTTATAGATATGTTGTTTGTAGTGTTTGAACATATTGCCTTGCTTGTTGGGCTGGTAATGCTGCCGGAGTGGATAAAGGACGTATTGACACTTTCATCCGTCAGGCTTGTGAAATGATTGGTCTACAGTTGCCCTCCATTAGTGAGGTGTATCTAGAACATCTTCAGAAACCTTCCATCGTTTTGAGTTAGATACCTCTTATCCACTCCATTATGCTATTATTAACCAACTTAATCCAAGTGGTAGAATGAGGCTACTCAGAGCAAAAACAAACCGTTATGCGAAGTCATTTATCCCCTCCGGCATCACCCAGTTCAACAAGAGGTTTAGAAGATAATTCATTATTAATATAAGATCAATAATAATTTTAACTCTATTAATTACGATAATGATAATAATAATAATAATAATAATAATAATAATAATAATAATAATAATAATAATAATAATAAGAATAAGAATAATAAAAATAATCATAGTTGTAATTCAATTATTTTATCGATGGTAGTCATTGTATTTTACTTGTAAATTGTTATATTTTCTATAGTGACTGTTTTGTATGTTTTTATATTTATTTTACATTTTTTAATATAATATGTGATGACGAGCAGAAGAATTTCCCTTGTGGAACAATAGAGTTATCTTATGTTCGGCGTTGCTATAAGAAGCAAACAAGAAATAAACCTTACAATAATTCAACACAATGTCATTTGCTATGCCTAATTATTAAGCTAGCTCTTTAAACATTGTCATTTAAAGTAATTGTCCTATAAACGTACACTTCATTAATTTCCTAGATTTGTTACAAAGCATCCAGATTTAATAATAAAACGAATCATCATTAAGATAATAAAACATGGTATGTAATTGAGTAGTAATCATCTATGATTATCTATAATTATTCAGATTCAATTAATATTTCTTGCCATAGAGTACACTTTGATCCCTCCGCATCATTATAGTGTACATAAGTTTTCATTGAATCAGAAATCCAATCTGAAATACAATTAATGCATAATAATAAAGTCTATCCAAAATAATACATCAAATACATTGTGAATAGACCGAATTAGCGATCGACGCTGTTCAGCTACAAAACAAACGCACGAAGATTTACACAGTAATTTAAGAAAATAGCCTTTACTAAAACGTCTCATACACGCTTTGTGTGTAAAGTTGAGCGTGATTTAAATTTACAGAATCCAATGTTACATGTTTATGAATGAAACGTCATCTTTTCTCTACGATTGTAGAATAAATCGTACTATTTTGGGAATAAAACGTACATTGGTCGTGTCTGCCTGTGTAATCAAATAATGTACAGCACGACGACGGCAGCCGTGTATATTCACTCACAGTGAATCATGACGTCGGTCGATAAATGTGCTTGTTGCAAAACTCATGAAATGTGTTGTATTTGCAGATTTCAAGGAGAGCTAAGTTATTCAAAATTATTGAATAATGTTTCTAAATTCACACCAATAACTTTGGCAGACTTTATGTTTAAACAAGTAAAAGACTTGACGACAGCACGGAGTTGAACGTTTACAGTCAGGCCTCACTCAATCATCACATCCAGTCATGTCGCGTTGTTGTGCAACAAATGTCAGGGGCCGAGGCCTAGCCTGTAAAAACTCTACGTATATTTAACTTAATTTTACATGAAAATCAAATAAAACGTCTTCTGATGGTTCTATGAACCTCCCTTAACCTACCAATGTTTTAAAAAGTATTTTACCCGTGTAATTTGGTTTTTTTTGCTTGTTTTCCTGGACCATACAAAAACTCGCAACGTTATAGAATAGGACTTTTGGCCTTTGTTTACAATTTTATACACACTCAGCCAAATTGTGATGACGTCACCTTTCGTCGCTAATTCGGTCTATTGCCAATCTTTGACTACCTAATAAATATTCATGTTGATGTTCACTCAGGCGTGAAGAAAGAAAATAAACAGCGACGTTCCTCAAGACCTATCAAGTCATGCGATTGAACTGTTCGTAATACGATAGCACATTTACAATATTTCAACACTATATCCCATTATCTATGCTTTCTATAACGTAGCTGCTAACCATAAATCAGGGATAAAGGATACGGTATATGTTATAATAATAATACAAAATACTGTCTTATTGTGAAAATTATGTACAAAGTTTAGCTCGGTGTAACTGGCGTAGGCTACGTATAACCGTGTACAGAAAATATTGAGTCCGCGCGACGTTCGTACGTGCAGTAATCAACGCTTGGTTTAAAATTATAATATCTCACAAAATCATCATTATATCATAACTATGCAATATTCATATGTTCGTATAAAATTCACCCTTTATCTGTCCTATTACAGAAACCTTGTAAACATTTCAAACATCAATCATTCTGGCTTTTATTCCTCAACACTAACGTTATGTTTGCTAGTGTGAATCCTACGGCCAGCGTAACCACTCACAGTTTTTGATATACCCAATGACTGCGTCAAAATTACCCAAGCTTCCTGAAAATGCATTAAAATTTGAAAAAACCCGTGTTTTTCGCATGTAGTTTCCCTTTCAGTTCAATTTATAAACCATTTTTATTGGAATTGTTTGTGTTAATTATTAAAATTAATATTTATGAGGTGATATAATATAGATAGGAAATACGCCCTCAGTCGGCCAGTGTTCTCAGTAGATCAGTGAGTGATCAAGGTTTATTATGTAATGCATTAATAATTAATGGCAACGCAAACACAAATAAACAATTCTGAACCCATGTTTTTAGCAATTAACAGTCAATTAATAATGTTATGTTTTGCTTACTTGAATGGACTGACATATACTTTGTTACTTCTTAATTCTTCCTCTATGACAAAAATATTAAATTTTCTTAGTAAAAATAAAATAATAAAGGATTTTAACGGAATACCCAAGAACCCAAGACCAAGTCAAAATACCCTAGATCTTGGGTAAATACCCAAGCAGTGGTCACACTGCCTACGGCGCTGCTAGGCCTACCCCCAGCAAGTTTTCTTTTCCAGCTATAGAGGGTGCTCAATATTAACAATTAATTATTTCTAGACTTAACAACCACACTTGATTGAAGAAGACGACATGCATGCAGTACTGTGTATGAAGCGTACGCAAAAACATGGAGAAATTCCCTTCTAAATCTAGCATTTACCACAAAAAAATCTTACAGGCCTATGCTTATAGTTTGTACGATACTAAATCATCACAACAAAGCAAATACAATTTTAATTTCATTCAAACACATTGTCACAAACGACGTCTAACCAAACACAGTTAAATCGGGTTCAGCCCCGATCAAGCGTTGGCGAAGAACATCTGAACAAGACCACTTCGTAAAGAGCACGTGATCGGCCGTACGACGTATGCTATGAAGCAAGAAGTAAAGAGCCTCGTCCATCATAATATAGCATAGAATATGCGTATATATTTTGTGAGATATTGTATTTAATCACCACAAATATTACGTAAAAAAAAATTCTGATCGAGCGTTGAACCCCGATCGAGCGAAGAACATCGAGAAAGACCACGTGATTCACCCTACGAAGTATGCTAGGAAGCAAAAAATAAACAACCTCGTCCGTCATAATGGCATGTAATTTGCGTGTATTTCTTGTAAGATATTTAATCATCACGAATAAAGTAAGTCAACTTAATAGTTTTTATGTTTTATTAACACATTTTCCAACGTCGCGTCACTAACAAAAACAACATGAAAATTAAATTAACCACAAGTGTTTAATTGTTGGATTTTACTTTAAAATAGTGTTTAATACATTCTAGAACCAATCATTGCAAGAAAACTTAAAATTTTCATTTTTTCTTAGGTAGGGAGGGAGGAAGGGGGAAGACCCATCCCAAACCCACTCCGCTCAGGCAGCAAATTTCCAAAAGTTAACACTGTTCAACAATTCAAACACTGTTATTTGGCATCTTACAGTAATTATTTTTCATTTTTTTCTTAAGTACGGAGGAGGGACACTTAAAAAAACCTTGTATCATAGGCCTATCACCCAACCAAACTCTAGTGCAATTTACGACCATTATAAAGTTTATCATTCACTGTCATTTAATCCTTCGTTAATTACTTAATGATCACAGTGTACCGCTGCCTTTCAACTACCGAATTTACTCTGCACATGCTCAGTCTTACAATTAATCAATCTGTGATAATCATAGTCATTAAACTATTTTATCTGAAGTGTGCTGCACCGTGTATGTGTAACACGAAACTAAATATTAATAAATATGTCTAATCAAAGCTACTGTTGAACCTTTCATTTTTTGTCTTTAATTCGCTCTGGTTTATATATATGATCACATACGTATGATAGTGTAGTGTAGTGCTATGGTACTACTTGGGATATGTGCCGTTCATGCACGCGTGTACGCGCGGAGGAATATGATTAAATTAGTTATGTTCAAGACGACATGGCGTGTGTGCATCGTTGTTGATTGTCCATATAAACAACACTAAATCTGGCGACGAGAGATAGCTAGAAGGAGGGATAATGGCGAAAGTAAATATCCCCTGTGTCGCTGCATTTGACAATGTTGTCGCTGAGTCTTTGGACACGTCTGTAGGTCCAAAATGGGAAGCGTGGATTAAGCGTTTCGAGAATTATGTCGTAGCCCTGTCCGTGTCGTCGGACGCGCAAAAACGTGCATTGCTCCTACATGCTGTAGGGGCGCGTTGCTTTGAAATATTTGACAGTCTACCTGATACTGGAACTACTTACGCACATGCCAAAGTGGCTCTGTCGAATCATTTTAGGCCTAAAGTTAATATTGAATATGAGAGGGCTGTATTTAGACGTCTTAGGCAGAAGTCAGACGAGAAACTAGATTCCTACCATACCCGACTAAGGAAGGCGGCCGGTACATGTAACTTTCAAAGTATTGACCAAGAACTGAAGTCGCATATTATCCAAACAACTACTGACTCGAAGTTGAGAAAACAGGGCCTTAAGGAAGACGGACTTACGCTAGCAGAAATTCTACAAATTGGAAGATCAAATGAACTAGCACAGGTCCAGAATAGTGATATGGAAAAGGACTTAGGCTTAGGCCTAGCACAGTCTCATCCAGAAAATCGAGTTCATGCTGTAAGTACCAAAAGACAGAACAGTAAAACTTTTCGCCCTAATAATAAAAGAAATGGAAACAGTGCTAGGAGCGGTTCTGTTTATGGAAGGGAAAAATGCTTTGGCTGCGGTAGGTCATATCCACACCCAAGAGGCCCAAAGTCCTGTCCAGCATTTGGAAAGAAATGTCACGACTGCGGTAGAGTGAACCATTTTGCCAAGTATTGCCGACAGACCAAGGTAGCTCATGAAATAAGCTGTTATGGACATGATCAGGACAATATGAAATGCTAACGTTAGTTTAGTTATGACTGCTGATACTGCAGCTTCATGCAACATTATTAATGAGTGTACGTTTAGTAGTAAATTTAGTGGTGTGTTGTTAAACACTAACACGAACAATGTACATGCCTATGGTGGAACAACCCTTAAGGTAAAAGGAATTTTCACTGATACTATCTCGTGTAAAACTAATGATAATGTTACTTTCACAGACACATTCTATGTTGTAGAAGGCCAATGCGGATGCTTGTTAAGCAATAGGGCTAGCCAGAATTTAAAACTGGTAGCGGTTAAACAATATGTTAATGTGGTATTAGAAAGTAGTGATGTGGTTAAGAAATACCCAAATGTGTTTAACGGGATTGGACAACTTCAGAATTTTGAAGTCAAGTTGCACATTGACGAGAGTGTACCCCCAGTAGCCCAGCGCCACAGGCGTATCCCATATCACATGAGGAAAATGGTTGAAAATGAATTGTTAGAGTTAGAACGTAATGATATCATTGCTAACCAGGCAATAATGCGCGAAAGACACCGACCGTAAATGAAATTGTCGCGAAACTAAATGGCGCAAAGGTGTTTAGTAAAATTGACTTAAAAGCAGGCTACCATCAGCTTATGCTCAGTAAAGAATCACGTTATATTACAACGTTCTCCACCCATGTTGGGTTGTGGCGATACAAGCGTCTGAATTTCGGCATATCAAGCGCGAGTGAAGTGTTTCAGAATGTTATTGAAAATGTAATTTCTGGCATAGATGGTGCATTTAATTTCTCGGATGATATATTCATTTTTGGGAAGGGCAATGATGCAATGGTCCAGCATGATAAATACCTTGACCAAGTTTTGGCTCGCTTAAATGAAAATGGTCTAACTGCTAACCTGTCTAAATGTACACATCTAGATGATTCCGTAAGTCCAAAACTGAATTTTATGGTATGGTATTTTCTGAAGCAGGCATTGAGCTTGACCCTAAAAAGGTAGAAGCCATTGTATCCATGAAAGCACCGTGTAACGTCAGCGAAGTGCGGAGTCTGTTAGGTATGACTAATTATTGCGCTAGGTTCATCCCAAATTACTCCACCATTACCGCGCCCATACGTCAGTTAACCCATAAAGACAAGGTGTTTACTTGGCATAAAAAGCAGCAATCTGCATTTGATGAAATTAAGAAAATATTAAGCTCATCACCCGTTGTTTCATATTTCGATGTTACTAAAGTAACTGAGCTCATAGTAGATGCATCACCTGTGGGGCTAGCTGGAATTCTTGTCCAGTATGAAACCAAAGAGGGCAGTAAAAAACCCCAAGTTGTCGCTTATGGGAGCAGAGCGCTTACGCCGGTAGAACAGCGCTATAAAAGCC